CAGTAGGAAGGTAGTAAAGCACTGGAACAGGTTACCCAGAGAGGCTGTGGAGTCTCCATCCTTGGAGGTTTTCAAAACCTGGCTAGACAAAGCCTTGGCTGTAATGTAGTTGGGGCTGGTCCTGCTTTGAGCAGGGGGTTGGACTAGATGTGGCCCCCGAGTCCCTTTCCAACCCCCATTTTCTGATTCTATGAACATTGTTGGGGTCCTTTGTATACTGGGCAGTGGTGGTCTAGAAATGGGTTATATTGCACCTAACTCATTGATTGACTGTAGGACCTGAAAAAACCCTGCAAAATGGCCTAGAGCAGTGATTGGCAACCCCAGGCATGTGTGCCAGTTAGTGGCGCATAAAGACATTTTACTCGGCACACCAGGTGGTGTGCAAGGAAATTGTTTAATTTTTTTCTTTTTTTTAAGTTGCTGCTCCGGGCTGTGTAGAGCAGGCACAGGTCCCAGCGCTGTGGCAGGCACTGGGGGTCGAGTCAGGAGATCGCAGGCAGGGATGATGTCTGTGTTCTGCTGTCCCCAGGTCGTGTCCCCCAGCCTGGCCCGGCCCTGGGAGAGGAGCTGTGGGTAAGCAAGGCCAGGGCAGGCACTGCGGAGGGCCACTGCGCTGGAGGCTCCCAGTCGACTTGGTCCGGAGCGCTGCTTGCAGCGGCTGTTCCTGGGGCCCAGGGGCTCCTGTGGCTGGGACCAGGGCCAGCTGTGCCCAGCGTGCAGGGAGGCTGAGCCCAGAGCCGGCACTGCCTCAGCCCGGCAGCTTCCCCTCATGGGCAGGGCAGCTACGGCCCACCCCCATGGAGCTGTGCAAGCCAGGCCAGGCCCCAACCTGGGTGCCACTGGGCGCCCCCACCTGCCGCAGCCCGTCTGTAGAGCCCCGGGGCAGCCCCTGCTTCCTGCCTGCCCTTGACTCTCCTCCTGCTGCCATCTTCCCAAGGGCCCAACTGGGCCGGTCTGCCTGCAGCGCCTTCCCTGTGGCCAGAACCAGCACTTGGTGCCCCAGAGCCGCCCTCGCTGGGGTGGAACAGGTGTCTGTGTGCCCGAGACCCAGCCGGGTCCTCCCTCTCAGCCCTAGGCTGGGGCCCTCCCTGCTCCGGGACCATTAGGGAGGCGTGAGCGCCGGAGCCCTGGCAGCTCCTGCTGGGGTGTTGCTCCCTCCGCCGGACACTGCCCTGGACCAGTAGGCCCAAGCTGGAGCTGGTAGTGGTGGGAGACATTGGCGGCAAGGGACACACCTACTTTCTCTTTTTCTTCTTGCTCTTTTTTCTCTCCCTTTTTGTCCTTTTCTTTTTTTTCCTTTCTCTTCTTTCTTTTTTCTTTCTTTACCTCTTACTCTTTTTTCTTTCTCTCCCTTTCTGTCTTTTTCTCCTCCTTTTCATTTTCTTTTTTTTTCTCTCTCAACACATGCTTAACGGAAAAAAATACACAAGGACAAAGGTAGTATATTAAATTGTATTTATTGTCACCAAGTTTAGAATTTTTAGAAAACTTGGTATTTACTGTAAGAAAAAAAAAAGCATTTATGATTATTAATATAGAGAGCGCCCTGCCACACACCCCGCACCCCAATTTTGTTTTTCTGGGATGCCGGCACCCCGGCACCACTTTTTTCAGCTCTCTGGCCAAAAACATTGTCTACCCCTGTCCTAGAGACATCACAACATATGAACAGGTAGGGGTACATCTGAGCCCCAGCCCATCACTTTTTATGGGACAGTATGAGTTGGGATGGCTGCAGCTGGACAACATTAACCCCAGCTGCTACCTGGAGACATCTATGCCCGGTGATTTGCTTTTATAGGCAACTGCATTCAGAAGGGGAGCATGGCCTCTGCCCTGGTTTAGACAAAAGTGTGAGGGCAGCTGTGTTCCCAGCAGGGAACTGCATTTACCCCGTTGGAATATTTTTTTCTCTGGGAAGAGGGAAAGAAAGCTGTCATGAGGAAAACAAATTTTGTAGTCTGCAGGTGATCAAACTGCACAGTGGAAGTCCTGGAAGTGCCAAACTGCAGGTCTGGACTCAGCTGTTAAGCTATAGCTTCAAATACCCTTCTTCACCCAATAAAAACTTTGTCAAGGCTCCATGGGCTTAGCGCTTTCACAGAGGCTAAAAGAGCTCAGTAAAACCTGAGCAGTCTCATCCATAGGCCCCCTTTCCTCAGTGGCCAGTACTGAAGAAAATCACATAAAAATGAAGTGTCTACAGCAGTGGTCACCAACCAGTGGATCTCGATCTGCCGGTAGATCTTAGAGCCTCATGGAGTTGATCCGAGGCTGGGGTGAGGGGCTGAGTGCCCGTTTGCATGCACACACGTGCCCCAGCCCAGCAGGTTGGTCCGTGGGGGAAAGAACGGTGGGAGCTAGATTGAGGCCTACACGGTGAGGGACAGTGCCACAGAGGCAAGAGCAGGGGTAAATTGAGTGGCGCCTCGGCTGGCTGGGACTTACCTGCTGGGGAGGTGCACCCCTACATAATTTTTTCTTGATCTGCTCCCCCCTTCCCACCCCGCAGATTTACCTGCTGGGCAGGGGAAGGAGGAGTGGCGATGGTGGCACACAGTAGATCTTGGGTTGCTTTTAAATGACAAAGGTGATCTACTTAAAAACGTTGGAGACCACTGGTCTACAGAGATTGTGTGAGGGTTAGGGAGACTGTTCCTTTCTCCTCTCTATAGGCCGTGCTTATGCTGGTATTACTAGATGCAGTCACGACTCAGGCTGCACACCTGTACTCACACCTGAAGGGAGAACTGCGCAGGTGCGGGCAGCTAGCGCAGGGACAGAAGAGACTGGAACAGCAGGAAGAGGAAGTCCTGGGATCCAGCGACCAAGCACTTCTGTGCCCCAACCTGGGGATGGGGTATCAGTGAAACTCCACGTGGTGAACGCTGTTGAGCTTCTCCAAACCCCCTCCTGTAAATCACTCCTTCGGGAGTGTCTGGGGTGGCACCCAACAGGTCACTGCAATTTCCCTGGTTTATTTCTCCCTACCTGAACTAATCATTCTTCTTCAACGTTCCTCTGAAATAAGTGAGCAATCTCAGCCAGTAGATGTCTCCTTAATACGCACTCTGGTACAATGCACATACATGCAGCTTACCAGGGTAAAGACATACGATGTTACAGGCATGCGTTAGATGGAGCAGTTCCTGGCTGACTCCTGAAAACCTGCAACACACGTAGAAACAATGCTGCTGACATCACTTTACATCAGATAAGAATTCACTCTTTCCAGAGGCATCCCAAATCAGATTGCTTGCGTGGGAATGACTTCATCCACTACTGAAGTGCAGGTCTCTCTACAGTGAGAAACGGCAGCTGTTTAACAGCATATAATGACACTATGCTACAGCGCAGTATTTGCTCATACACTATTTTCTTAGGGCATTTGCATGACAACAGTATCTCTGCTCCTTGTCCACTTTGGCTGCTTGGTTTCCATTCACACTTATAATCCTCTGTTTGTTGTTTGTGACTTCACAATTGGTTGCTATGGAAATGATTTTGATGTCATGGAGAATTATTAGTTCAGGTAGGGAGGAATAAGCCGAGAGAGCGAATGAACTCTTAAAGTAACAAAGACGGTTTATATGCTAATGCTCTTGTGTGGAAAAGGGCGAGGGGACAGAAATGCAGCTAATCTCCAAGCAGCCAGTTTCTAGAGAGATGTTTGTCACTTTTCCACGGTGCAAAATAAGCTCTTTAATATTTAACTTGCAAGAATTTCACAGAGATGAAGATTCAAATATTTAGTCAAACGCATCTATCCCCTCTCCTATCCAATTCTGAAGTCTTAGTTCTGCCACCGACCTGTCGTGAAGCCCCTGCCCCTTTCCGGACATCTGCTTCCCTCCTACCCCTGGCCTGGCTGGACTAAACTCATCACCGTGGGGACAGTCTCTCGCTGGGCTCTCGTGCAGCACCTGGCGCGGCGGGGAGGTGATCTTTAGAGCTTCTAGAAATGCAAATCCTGCGGTCACACAAATGGCACAGTCGAGGTTATGGGGGGAGAGGCGCAAAAAGGCAGCAGCAGCAGCACGAAAGGGAAGAGCCGACTCTGCCACAATGCACGGGTCAGCTGCGCCAGGCCAGGTCTCGTGGGGCTCACTGCCCCCCTCATTGCTCATACCCCCTCAGTGCCCCCTTATTGCCCCCATACCTCCCTCCCTGTCCCTCTCCTTGCCCCCATACCACCCTCCCCGGCAGAGGGCCCGGAGGCGGCGCTAGGAGCGGAGAGGGGGTCACAACCCCAACAGCTCCCGACCCTTCCCCCGCCCCCTCAGGCGCCGCGAAGCGCCAAAGCGCGCGCCAACTCCCCGCCCCGCCGCTATTGGCC